TTTAATAATATATTATAATTATAAATTTAGATTAAGCATTATAACTCTATCAATACTACGAACATTAATGATGACTTTAGGAGTTTTAGCCATAAGATTTACATCCCTGAGTGCTACCCTCCCACATAGAGACAGAACATAGGAGGACAGGACGGAGCGGGAGAGGGCCCCCACAACAGTTATCACTCGGCCCATTACCAATCACGGCCCTGATGTGATTATTGGGCTTACTACAGTTATTTTTTATTTTTATAAAAGTCAGTTGATTTTGCATTATGCATAGAGGAATTGGGCTGAGTAGAAGCTGGGCTTGAATAAAAGGCACCTCACGGCGGCTTACAGTGTAGTAAGTATCCATATGCAGCAGTTCCTAACCGTAAGCCCACTTATGCTTGTTCCATTGTTGCGAGTTTATAGTAAAGATATGTAAGTTTAAGTAAAAAGAATTTAATTTTTTTTAAATACGGTCTTAAAATTTGATTTTTATCAATAAAGAGATAAATATTGAGAGAGTTTCTTCTTTATATTCTTTATAAAAATCCAACTTGACTCTTTTAGAGATTTAATTTAATTCAATTTTGAATTAATTAAAATTTAATGTAACTTTCAAATACTGAGTGGTTTAATAAAAAAAATTGTTGCCAACTTATTGCAGCTTTGGTTTTGGAGAAGAATCACAGTTAGGAAGGCTAAAATGGTTATACATGGGACTATGGGGAAAGGGAAGAAAATCAATTTATTTGATTAACATTTCATTTTGAGTTTAATATTTACAATATAAATTATAAAACATCAATTATTAAATAGAGAAACATTCTCTCAATATTAGGACCTCTAATTTAATAACTAACGTTTTGTAATTTAATGTAATTTAAATTACAAAATACATTTTTATTTCATCATAATATGATCAACTAAAGGTTCAAAAAACCTAAATTTGGCTATTTTAAGGAGGTGAGCCTCTTAAGAAATCTATACGTCTCAAACAGCTCGAACCGTTGACATCCTTGAAGTCAAACAGACAGCATAAAGAAGTATCAATCAAGCAGAGGGAGGATCATGGAAAATTCAAAGCAGGCAGCTGTCCCAAAAAAGGATCCAGGTGATATGTATTACCGTATCACATGACCCAACATAAATTGTAGCCCGCTTACTTCCACTCTCAATGT